CCACCGCCTCCGGCCGCCGCCAGCGCCCCGCGCGCTCCGGGACGGGCTTCCCCTGCTAGGCAACCCCACACCGCGCCACACCGTGCGAATACCCAGCCCCGGCTCGCCCTGCCGCAGACCACCCCCCACCCCAGCACTGTAGCAAATGACAAGCCAGTGGGGGAGGTTTGCTTTTTAAGAAGATTCGGGGGTCAGCGCATGAACCGGTGAAGAACCTTGTTGGAGATTTTTTTTTTTAATCCTTTAATAAAAATAAATAAATTTTTAAAAAATTAAAAAAAAAAAAAAACCTTTTTGAGCATCACACCAAGCAACAAATAGATACTTCTGTTTCCCATTTTGACCACTTATGAGAGAAAGCGAAGATGGAAAAGAAGAAGCAGCAGATGGGGTGGGTGTAGGAGCTCTGATAAAAAGGAAGAAAGAAAAAAATGGGGGCGGGGAGGGAGGAATGCTCGAGGCCCTGGCAGCTAGGCTGGCACTGGGCACCGGCCTCTGGGGCCTTCAACTCTGACTAGCCTTCTTGAGGACTAGAAACAGGCCTCTACTCTTGAAACTGGCCCCTGGATGCCGTTATGTTAAGGCTTCCAAGTACACAACACCCCGAGATGCGGCTTGAATTTCCCTCAACATCCAGGAATTCTTGCACACACGTGCAAAGAATGACCGGTTATAATGTTTTGCAGAGGTAATCCTGGAGGTGTATGTTGATTTAATATCTATTACCTAAAACCCCCTCTAATTCACGTGCTGTCAAGGTGGCTGGTTTTTATTATTTATATGAGACTTTGCTTCATTCCATTTGTTTGAAAGTTTTATTGGAAACCATGGTGATTTCTATAAGCTTTAGGCTCCAAAAATATTCAAATACGTTTTCTCTTCTAGTTAGGCCCCAATGGTTTATAAAATAGGAAGAAGAAGGAAAAAAAAAAAACTCAAATATATTGATCTGGATCCTGAATAGTACTCTCATTTTTCAAGGTAATAGCCCTGTTTTGGCAGATAAGGAAAGAGTTACTATTGCAATCCACTGGTTAAGTAATTACTGTATTTCAAACTCAGGCTTGGCTAATTACCAGCTCTAAAATCTTCCCCTGTACACTAAAAGAAACGAAAGAGAAAAATATACAGCCTAAATGGTGGCCCAACGTTCACCTTTGCTAGGATCTACAATCCAGAACTGTCTTCTATTGAAAAGAACAACGCAATGGGAGTGAGCGGTGGCATTCGATAACGCCCGGGCCGCAAAACACCATTGTCTAACATTAAAGAAGGTGGAAGAAGATGTTTCTTAGCTTCATTTATTACTGTATTTACTCTCAAACAAAAATAATAATAATAATCATTTGTGCCTGGAAGGCAACTTTGCAATCATCTGTTCACCCATGTACAGAGGATGAAAAGGAAGCTGGAAGAATCTGTTTCTCCAGGATTGCGTGGCCACAGTGAAATGCCTCTCACTTCTGAGGTTTAGACCTGTCCTCGTGCGTCTGAAAACCCTTCAAGTGGTTCGTTGCACAAGACACTTCCGCTTACTTGAATTTTTTTACTCATGTCTGTTTTTCTCTTCATTTTCTTCCTCGTTGACCACCAGCCCTGACTGATTCAGCAGATACATTCTGCCTTGGCGCTTTTAAATAATATTTCACAATGGTGAATTACACAAAGATTCAGAGGTTGGTAGTTTTTACATCGAAATTTATAGTGCACGTATGTTCCAGCTACACGCTTGCCTAGTTCTGTAGTATCTGATAGTCACTTCTGGTTCTTGTCTTTGCTTTGTTTTACTCCATTCAAGCTGGTAGAGGAAAACACCATAGACTAACTAACTAGTTTTACAGGGGTGGGGGTAACTTCTCACTGCTCTGGAGGCCAGAGAATACAAAACAAAGGCCAACAGACCCAGTGCCTGGTGCAGTTCCAACCCCTGATTCACGGACAGCCATCTTGCTTTGTCCTCACACTGTAGAGAGGATGAGAGGGCCTGTTGGCGTCTCTTATGTGAAGACACTAAAATCCCATGCATTAGGGCTCTGCCAGTGTGACGACCCCCCCCCCATGCCACAACACTGGGCAGCAGGATTTCAACATATGAATTTAATAAGGAAAAAAACCTGTTTAGTCCGTAACAACTTTTAAATTATGTGGCATATGGACACTCCAAGTAATCATAAAATACGATTTTCAAAATGTCTTTCCTTTTCATTGTCAATATAGCACATGGCCCAAACCCCCCTCTTTATAGAAGTCACCTCTGTTACATTATTCCGAGTGGTGGCTGGGTTTATGTCCTAGGATTTGCTAGATTTTTAATTTATAAGCTGTCACAATGCATAAACATCGTTATTGAGAATCTTGGCTTCCACAGCATTACCTTGTTTATGTTGACTTTAAGTTTCATCTATCATTGTATTATTCTGAAATTCTGACGGAACAATCTGGAATTCTTGCAATTTCCCTCCAGCCTTCAGGAACAAATAATTGTATCCTAATAAAAATGCTAAAATCTTGTGTCTGTTTCTCAATGCTTGTCTTACAAAGGAAAATTAAAGGTATATACCCACGAAACAGTTACACAATACAGAGGCACTCATGTGAATTTGCTGTCCATCGCGTTAGTTTGCTGTCCGTTTAACATGTGTATCAAGGTGCTGCATCCCTCACGTCTCCTCCTGCCTCCCCGCTCTGTCACTTATGCTGGAGATAAGTGAAATGTTGGCATCTAAATCAGACCATGTCTTCAGTTTTTATCCCTTTTATTTCTTTCTGCAGCTTTAAAACACACCAGTCTTCAACCAGTCTCATTGCCTATAAAACCATTGGCATGAAATCATCAGTGAGGGTGCCTGAGAATACAGCTTTCTGGTGTTTCCAGCTGTCAGTCTCCTGCTCTCAAAACCGCTCTGGGAGAGTGCGGAAGGACACAGCTCTGCAACATGGAGTCTCATCTTTTTTATGTGCCCTTCCTTCCTCTGGGTACTCATCTGGCTCATCCAAATGCACATCCTTCATTATAACTATGCAAACCTACACATGGCTGTACATTAGGACATAAACTGAGGACAGTTTATTTACCCATAAATAGAACATTGTGATAAGCTAGTAATCCTTGCTTAAGGAGAAAACTCAGGATAAAACTTCCTATGCCAAAGGGTCCATGGAAACTCACCGCTCATGTATGTTGGTATCTGCCTGCTGGGATTCCAATGGTTTCTCGGGCCCAAGGCAGCAGACTTCTTTGGTGCAAGGCTAGTATTTAATTTCTCCAAATTTTTCAGCCTCTCATTTTAATGCCCATTACCTAACTGAAATGAACTAATAATGTGGGTGTCCTTTGGCTCCAGAATTAGATGAGATAAGATTAAATGGGTATAGAATAGGTTGGGTATCTTTTAACTGAAATGGCTGAGACCCAGAAACTTCCCATTTCCGATGTTTTTCTAGATTTTTGTATTTCCATATATATAATATATATAATATTATAATTATATAATAAATAAATATATAACACATATTTCCATAGGTATAATAAGAATCCATTCCTGACACATCCTTTAATCCTCTCATAATCAGGTATCAGTTCTCTATTTGCAGGCACTGTGCTAAATGAGAGAGGGGCAGAGTGTCCCTTTGTAATCCAGATTCTTCCAGATTGTGATTATCTGTCTAGGCATATTGAGATACCTTGGGGATGGGGCCCAGGTCTATACATAAAATCCCCTCAAGGCTCACACTAACTCCAGAGCCTAAAGGGTAATTCTATATAATATTTTTAGTGCACCTGCATTTTACCTGTGGAATTTTCCTATCACACAAGCACTCAAAAAGTTCAGATTTGGGAATACTTTGGGTTTCAGATTTCCATATTAGAGATGCTAAACCTGTACCAGGATTACTGTATGTAAATGTCTAAATCCTACCCGGGAGCCACTATAAGGGCCCTACGGCAGTAACAGATAACAGAACATTCGTTCTAGAGCTAGGACACAAGTCTGTCACCAGAGACATTCTGAGGCTCTGTCGTGATGAAAGCAAGTTAGCTTGGAATACACAAATGTCTTCTGTGACAATGCCGGTCACCATAGTTACTCTCAGTCCCCCTCCCTCCCACCCCCAGGCTCTTAGGGAACTTTTTCTGTATCTTTGTTATAGTACTTACTATTGCATCATATCTTATATTTTTATTTATTTCTATCTTTATGTATGAGTGCTTTACGTGAATGCATGTTTGTGCACCACATGCATGCCTGGTGCCCACAGAGGTAAGGAGAATTTTAGTTCAGACATGTGCATGTATGCATGTTACTTTCATTTTCATTAAATCTTAATATACTTAAAAATGTACTTACTTCCATTGAGAAATTAATCATTCTCTATACAAAATAAAGTTTACATTTGTAATCTTTAATTTTTTTTTCTTCTTCCGGGCATGGTGGCACATGTCTTTCATCCCAGCCCTGAGGAGGCAGAGGCAGGCATACCTCTGATATCTCTTGGAGTTCCAATCCAGCCTGCTCTATATATTGAGTTCCAGGCCAGCCAGGGCTATATAGTGAGATCCTGTCTCAAAATAAATAAATAAATAAATAAATAAATAAATAAATAAATAAATAAATAAATAAATAATAAATGAAATCTTTCAATCAAGATGACTAGAAAATCAGTGAACAGATGGGCATGGTGACACATGCCTGTAACATTAACACTCAGGATGCAGAGCTGAGT